GGCTGAATCCAGAGTTTGTGACTCACTCAGGGAGAAGGCGGGGAGGCTTGGGTTAGAGTCCACCCTAATGACCCCATTTTACTTGATCACCTCTGCAAAGACCTTAGTTCCAATGGGGTCAGCTTGGGTAGCCCTGGAGGTTAGGACTGGGCATGTAAATTGGGGGGACACGATTCAACCCCTAACAGTTATATGAAGCAAAGGTGATCTCGGAATCTCATGGGGAGGTGGGGACAGTGACTGCTTCTAGGGAGAGGAGTGGAGGGAGACATCCTTTCTATCGGGTCACCTTTGTCATTGTGATTTTTGCTACCATTAAATAATCAGCTATTATTATTATTTTTAAACGACAGTGCTTTTTTTTTCTCTTGGTACTGGGAATTGAACTCAGGACTTTGCATTTGCCAGGCAGGCACTTTTGCCACTGAGCTATATCCCCAGGCCATTCAGCGATTATTTTTAATCAGCAAAAGTTAACACTTTTAAACCACATGCCTGCAGCTTCGGGTTGGGTCAGCCAGTGCATTGTGACATCTCTAATGGATGGGACAAAAGGTAGGGAGGTGAATGCTTCTTTATACATTGAAGGTGAGGATCGTCTAGGTTTTTGTCTCAAAAAGCCAGAGAGTAAATGTTTAAGGCTGTGTGGGTTCTAGTGCTGGTCTCTGAGGCAGATAGGCCATTTTGCCATTGTTGCTCAATAGCAGCCAGAGACAGTGTGCGTGGCTGTGTTCCAATAAAACTTTATTTACAAAACAGGAAGCCACACCATGTCTGTAGTTGTAAGTGATAGGTTTGGCGGGTGTGTTGGTTTCCCTAGGGCTGCAGTAACAAAGCTTTAGGAATAGGATGGCTTGAAATAATAGGAATTTATTCTCTAACCGTTCTGGAGGCCAGAATCGAGGTGCGGGCAGGCCCATATTCCCTCCAAAGGCTCCATGGGGTCCCTCCTCCCTCTTCCGCTTCTGGGGACTCCAGGTGGAGTGGTTTGTGGCTGTAGTGCTCCAGCTCCTGTACCTTCTGCACATGGCCTCTTCCCTTCTGGGGTCTGAGTCAAAATCTCCCTCTTCTTTCTCTTACTGGGTGTAGGATTTGCCTGAAATCCACAGAGACACCCTCTCATGATTCTTCATTACACTGGTGTTATGGTCTGTGTCCGCATGTCCCCCCAAATCCTCAAGCAGTCATGGGGTGGGCTTTTAGATTTTTGATTGATCCATAATCTCATGCTGGGATTATGGGTGTGAGTGCTGCACCTGCCCCTGGGGTGGGCAGTTTGCATACAGTATAAGGGGAAGAAAGAAGATGCTGCTGTTTCCTGTTTGCTCTTGTGGCTTTTGTTGTTTTCAGCCGCCATGAACGGTTGCTCTCTGCCATGTGCCAACCTGCCTTGGAACCAGCCAAGTAAGGACTGAAACCTCCACAAACTGTAAGCTAGATAAACCTTTCCTTCCTTAATTTTGGGCGTTAGGTATTTTGTTCAGCAAAGAGAGAAAACTAACCAAGACAACTGGCAAAGCGCTTTCCCCACATAAGGTCACGTGCTGAGTATGAGGGTGTCGGCATGTCATTTGGAGCACATTAGCTACCACATGGGACATGCTTGCTTTGTTGTAGGTCACTCTGAGGACCCCATTTCACCCTCTCCATGATTTTCACAGATTGTTTATTCCATTAACACACACACAGACACACACACACACACACACACACACACACACACACACACACACAGGATAAATGCATTACCCTGGTCTGAAGAGAACACACTGATAGAATATTGAAACGTCCTGCTGCACCCCATAAATAAGTACACTTATCAGGTGTCCTTTGAACTTCTAAAAAAATGTACCCTCAGTTCTGGAGATCGCTTAGGGGTCACCGTGTTTCAAGGTCATTCACGTATTCAGCAGATATTTTTACGGATTGCTATGTCTGTAATTACATGGCAAGGAGGGGGTTATTTCTGCACCCCGTGACCCAGCTTGGCGGGGCCGCCATGGGTTTTATGAGGCTGCTCCGAGGTAGCTGCCTTTAGTAAGAGGGCACGTGTGGATTGCCCCGCCAGCCCCGGCTTCATAGACTTTTATTATTTTCATGAACTGCCGTTATTAAAACATTCACCTAAATATAGCCCTTCCCTAAAGACACTCACAAATCACAAGGTGTTTTAAAGGCACGGAAGGA